ATATATTTATTACACGACTCGGGCAGTCAGAGGGCCAATAACTAAAATCAACCAATCAAAATGCTCTATTGCCGGTCCAATATTCTCTAAGTATTGGACCGGGCACTGTCCCGAATGGTCCCGAATGATACCGCACTTGTGTCCCTTTGAACTTCAGTCGTATAATAAATCTCTTATTAACCAAGCTTGCTCGGGACCGCACTGGAAGAATATCGGTCCTCAGTCTCGTACTATCAAGACCTCGGGCCGATATTCTCCCAGTCCGGCCCTCGCGCTTGGTTAATAAGATATATGTAATGTCTTTTCTTGTATTGTAACAACTTGAATATCTTATATTCAGAAGCTGTCTGAGTCATGGAACAAAGAACTCTTATTGGGTGTTCAAGTTGACAACCAATGACCACTGAGACGTCACCAAAAGGTATTTCCGCGGTGTCGTATAGAGGTTTTGCACAGCAGCCATGTTGGATGGCAGGAACACTAGATTATTTTACCCATGGGAAAATTTTTTCTTTCTTATGCAAAATATTTTCATTGTTCCTGCCATCCAACATGGCTGCTGTGCAAAAGCTCTCTACGACACCGCGGAAATACGTTTTAATGACGACCTAGAAATACGACCTAGTCAGTGTCCGAAAAAGCATATGGTTGAAACTTGAGAAAAATTTTAGACATTCTGGTCAGTGTTTCAGAAGCTGTGTTCTTATTATTGCGTACATGTGAAAGACAGAGTGCTTCGGAGATGTTGGACAAGGACAAATTAGGAAAGGATAAGAAGTTTCGTTTATTTTCCTCCGATACTGAAGGTGTCCTATTTGTAAGTAAAATATTTGCCACTATCACTTGAAAACAACATCAACAAGTATTCTTTCTTTTTGGAGGCAAGAAAAAGTAAAACAAGAATACTTGAGTAATCGAAGTGCCTGGGAAAGCGATTTAAAGGCCGGGGAGTTGACAAATTGGGACACTTTTAGCCGAACGCGTCTAAAAATGGCTTATTTTAGCACTTCAGTCTCCTTCTTTCAATGGTCTTTTTATAGTGACACCTCAACCATTAAAGATGTTCTAATCATTATATATTAAATAAAATTTAAATTACACCGGTAACTGGATAAAATTACCTAAAGACTTGATTACGCAACAATGATTAGGTTACAAAATGAAAGGGGTGATCTGTAATTCTGTTGGCTTCTGTGGCATGACATACACTTAACACTAATACTGAAGGGGGATAAGTTTCTAAAGAAACTTTGGTGCTATTTCGGTGGGGGTAACAAGGTAATTTGGTAATATCAACTAAGTTGAAATTGTAAATTGGCCACCGTAAAGAGTTAAAAAGCTGACGTTTCGAGCATCAGTCCTTTGTCTTTCGCTCTGACGAAGGGCTAACGCTCGAAACGTCTTAAAACGTCAGCTTTTGTAATCTTTACGGTGGCCAATTTACCATTTCAACTTTGTTGATATATCCAAATTATAATAAAGGAAATCTGTCGGGTTTTCCACCAGACACCTTTATCGAAAAAAATGTAACATTTCTGATTTTGCTCAATGTTTTGTAATCCTGAGATTTAGCCACAGAAAAAATACACGAAAGAAGGCACCAGAATTAATATAAACGTGTAGTTTATTGGAGCAATTTTAAACCTCTTTTTAAGTGAGCGGTTGACCAGAGGCACACTTTGTCGCTAGTCAAGTTTTACCATGTGTATTACTGCGGTTATGTCGTGCAAGTCCACGCAAACCTGAGAGAGGATCACGAGAGGTGATTATGACCGTAGAGCACAAAGCTTCAAAATGGCAACTGATTTCGTGTTGTCTCTAAAGGACAAGTGAATTTTACGATCATAAAAAAAAACTGTATCGATTATTGTTGACTTCTATACTATTACTGATGATATCTTTCAAATACTTGTTAATAATTTTGTTATCTTACTCGTATGGGCGCGATTTCGTGGACGCACGTGGTTTCACCTTGGTATTTTCATAGCTCAAAAGCGATGTCTGAAAAAGAACTTTTTCACCAAGGGGGTGGAAGGATTGGTAAGAGAAAGGAGGTTACCCTCCCCTTCCTTCCGAGATAGTAAGGCAACACGTACTACTTACAACCTATTTTACCAAACAAACACCATGAACGAGCTATTTTAAGAAATGTTAAAGACCACAGCGTACACTATTGAGTTATGAATGCACGCGGGAGGTTGCTAAGCACGAAAGAAGCGTAAGAGTCCGCAGCGTACACCCATACACAAACAGCAGACATATAATTGACCAATCAGAACGCGCGCTGTTGTAATTTACCGTTGTTCCAGGTAATTTACTATTGTATAAATTACTATTGTAATTTACCGTTGTTCCAGGTGATCCACCAGTTGGTTTATCTTTCCTTTCTGTTACCATCGTGACGTGTCTAGGTCCAACTGTGGAAGGAGGATTTGAGGATGATCCTTATGTGAAAAAATTAGTATGTAGCGGTGATTAAAAGAGCTGAGTTTGCTTTGGGATCAGAAGGCCTATCTCACCTAGCTTTTACCGGATGCATGAGGTGACAAGTAGTACCGGTGTACTGGTTGCCATTCCACTGTAGCGTTACCCCTCAGACTTTCGTCATATTTCCTTAGGACCCACAGTAACCCAAGTACCCATTCATACCCTTGCATGGGCTGGCGGAGAGGGGGGGGGGGGAATGGAACTGAGTTGCCCCAGGACACAAACAATAATTCAGTCATTGTTCGAGCCCAAAAGAATATAAAAGCCATATTCCACAAAAAAAATTTCCTATTTTTTTCCATACTCAGATCGTTCTCGTTATTAGACGTAATTAGAAAACGGATACACAGTGCTCTCCATAAGGTCGTTGGTACGGCAAAGCTCTGTAACGCTCTTCTATCCATTTAAGACTATGTCATTTTGCTGAGTGTAGGCCAATTATAGGCATTTTATCATACGACCACTAAGTGTTAAAAATTTCAACTTAGAAAGGACGCAATAGACGCGCACTCGCAACCACACGAGCAAAAAAATTCTAGAATTAAAACTTTTCCTTTAGTTGTTATTTAGTCAGAACAAGAAACTCCCAATTTCTTGCAATCGCGCCTTTTTTCCTCATTCTATTTTCCTTCAAGTTTTTGTAACAAAGTGACGTGAGGACAGCAGGGCTGAAGGGCTTTTCTGGACCGGCTCGCGTCAACCCGTCACGTGCTGCGCACGTCATCTTTCACTATAGTTTTCTATGATATTGTGAAGGTGAGGCCAAACGGGTTATATGATAAAATGATATATTTCAGCCGTTTTCATGGGCACAAGTCTCTTTTCTAGCCGAAAACCTATACCATAATATTTCTCACAGGCAGCCACACGCAGCCCCTAGGGCCTTTGAGGAAAACCAGTCTCTTATTTTAATCCTATAAAGCTTTGGGTAAATACCTGCCAGACTATAATTTCCCTTTGACTTAACCAACAAGCATCCGAGTCTTGATTGTTGTCCAACGCAATGAAAATCAAAGCTGAGTATAAGTCCATGATATTTTCTTTCAAGGCCTTTATCCCACTGAAGGTAAAAGAAGACATACTATGTGATTTTCGATCAAGAAAAACGAATACGATGAATGAAAACTTTTAGCCTGTGAGGGATATCCCAATGCATGCGTGGCCATATTTTAGCCTGTGGGGATACCTCAGTGCATGCGTGGCCATATTCAAGATGAAAGCTGTAGGACAGTATCAGTCACGTGGTACTGTTTATCATGCTGTAGCAGGTGGCTCTGAAATTGAGGTCTGTTTAGGAAACTCAGTTGTTGTCATCGTAGAAACGAAAGTTAAATTTTTTCTAACTAAATTTTTTTTTCCGGGGGGGTGGGGTACCGTTGTTTTTAGTCGTGTAAGCCTGGGTTAACACATTAGCTCTGAGATAGTGGATGAAACCTGGGGCGTGAAATTCATGTAAATGAAAGCTTTTAAAAGTAGAATTTCCATGCAGTGTCTGCATTGTTCTCTTCCATGCAGTGTTTACATTGTACTCTATATGGTTTGTTATATGTTGTTCCTCGGAACATGTTTATGTAGGTACTCTCGACCAACTATCGACCAAATCTCGACTAGGTGTCGACCGAATGTTGACAGACATATCGGTCATCTATCGATCGACTCTCGACCGACTCTCGACCGATACAGCGACTGATATACTGGTCTAGAGTAATTACAGAAAACTTGATCCGTCTCCTGCTGTGACAACATCAGATAAGACTGATGAATGCTGTTTCATTGGATGGACTGGTGTGCTGAAGGTGTGCTGGTATGAAGGTGTGCTAAAGGTGTGCTGGTATGCGTGTCGCCATTCAAGTACGAGTTACTGTAATACATTCCGGCTCATGTCTCTGAAAGAAGCTCATGTCTCTGAAATAAGACGAATTAGGAAATCAAATTTTCTCAATCTACCTTTAAGTCCCATTTGTTTGTACTCCTGCCGTCGTGAATTAATCGAAAGAATGAGCTTGGTCCTTCATTCCACAATGCCGTGTCCAGTTGATAATACCACCTTTTAAGTTCAATACCAGGACACTGGTGTGGGTGATCAATCATAACATCAAAGGAAACTACTCCTGTCCTACTAAAATCCTTCACAGCCATCAGGGGGTCTGATGGTAAAGTGGTCATTTCGCACGCTTGATAAAACAAAACAAAACAAAAAAAACAAATGTGACAAAACAATTGCAAGCCTTCAGTTCATTTCTTTCTTTCTGACTTCCTTGTGAGATTTTTAAAGCTCCTGACATTTCAGGCCGTTATACCATGACCATTTTGAGGGTTAAATGGTACTTTGAGGCATAGTTAGTAGTCCCCTCTACTAACTATGGTCTCATAACGACTAGGAACTACCGAATTCACGAATTTGATTGACTGAAATCAATATTGAAAGCGGTCTAGATTTTCCCATCTAGACCGGCATCTAGACCGGTCTAGAAAAAAAGGTACAAAGAATATAAAAAAGTGGCATCTAAGACACAGCCAAATAATAAACATCTTATTAACCGAGCTAGGTCGGTCTGTATGGGAGAATCTTGACCTCGGTCGCTGGTACAGACCGAATGCAGTGAGGTCTGTACTGGTGACCTCGGTCAAGATTCTCCCATACAGACCTCCCGCTCGGTTAATAAGAACTAAATAATGAGTGTTTTCACTGTGTGGGATTTTTTTGCGGGCGAGGGTCTCGGTCAAATGGTTAAAGTAACTAAGCGTAAGTCAAACACGAGTCTTTTGTCTGAAAAATCATAGATTTCACCACTTACCAATCCGAATCTAAGCAGCTTTAGGCCACAGTTATAACGAAGATCAAGATAGTGTGTAACAACTGTTTGCTAAGACGCTGGATCATAGCCACAGCATGGAATTCAATCCGGAACAACTTTGCGATCATCCCGTTTTCTTTAACTGGTCAAAACTGAAAAAAACTAAAACTGCTTGTACTTGTACAGATATTTTAAGCAAGAACCGTTGTTGTCTCAAGTTTCATTCCTCTCTCTTCCTGCTCCAGTTTCTGTTTTCCCCGACGTCATCAGATTTGCAGGTTATAATTTTCTTTTTGTAATCATAGTGAATTTGCCACAAAAATGCAGCAAAATTTGCAAATAATAAAATGATGTTGGTCTCCTGCTCTTTAGTTATGTTTTTCCAAGTTTTGCAGCTGAAAATACATTAAGGAATTTAAAGAACCACGACGGCGACGGCAACGCGAACTAAGTGAAACGACCTAATAAGCAAAACAATTGCTCAGCACGTGCGTTTTAAAATCATAGACATTTCTTAACTTTCTCCTGGAGAACATTTTTCACGTCTTCTAAAAAAAGGAACCTCGACAGCAATTTAGTCACGTTTTTACTTTGAACCCCACTCTACATTTACATGTTATTACAAAGGGAAGATGTTGCATCGTCAGTAACTGTATGTTCATCGAGCTACAGGCGAAATCCTTAAAGGGAAACGAAAATTCGTTTTTTTCGGCAAAGCTTTCCCTCTCTTCACTTTAGTGACATCTACAACTCCTTCAAGTGGTCTTGAATTTGATTTGTCTCTCACTTTAAATTCATGTAAGGACGACGTGTTTTTAATAATTTTGTTTGTCCCCTTCTTATAGATAGTGGGCGTCGCACGCGGACGACGTCTCGTATAAAAACTAGTCAGTGTCGGAAAAAGCGTTTGGCTGAAACTGGAGAAAAATGACAAAAAAATTAAAAAAATGTGTATCAGACATACATAAATAGTATTACATACATAGTACTTTATTGTAACTCCCTAAAAAGGGTTTTTCACGCACAAGGCTACTAAATAGCTAAAATATCTAAATAAATTACCAAATAACTAATATAATAAATGACATTAAAAATAAGTGAAATACAATGGATCATATACTAATTACAAATTCATAGATTAATCAGAGAAAAGTAGGTTAACAATTTTGTTCCTAAAAAGTTTGATCGATTCTGAAGATTTAACATTGTCTCTTAGATCATTCCAGAGCTTTGCACCGCAGTAGGCGAAGGACCGTTGGCCAGTGACATGGAATATACCAGAAAACATGCCTTTTTCTTAACTTGAATTGAACTTCGGGGAGCAACACAAAACCGCAATAAAGCGATAAATGTTTGCGGTCCTTGCCTACGCCCGTCAAATAAATCACTGTTTTCTCACTTTTAGAGCGCGCACAAAAACGCATTCTTCACTCATCGAAATATTAAATATGGAGCCATTCCCTGAGAGTATCGTCATATGAACGATAATTATCAAACACGGAAGTAAGAAGTTATATATCCTTTAGAAATGTATGTTTTCTATCGTATTTGAGAAGAATAAACAGATTAAGGTTTCATAACGTCACTTCATTGTCAAAGTCGGTTAAATGCTGCTAAATCCGTGCAAGTTGAAGATATCGCGTCATATTCTATTAATGCAGTTATCTAGAAACGCGCCCTCCAAACACCCAAAAAGCAAGATTGAAAACAATTCATGAACACAAGAGGGAAAAAGTAATTATGTGGGCTAATTAAGCAAGGTTTTGAAATGTAACGCTTTGTTAGGTAATAAATTAATAAATAGAATTTTAGCCAGGCAAATTTACGAGGTGGCGTCCATCTTTCCTGGTTGAATGGGAATTTGGCCTGTTAGCTTTTGTGGAGGGCGGAAACCGCAGCGCTCTTAAAGATTCTCTCAAATCAAGGACCAAATTAATAATAAACTTAGCAAGGGTCATGCCATCGAACCCATACAGCAGAGAAGAAGGTGAGCGCTAGACACCACATCATCTCGGCTCGTCAGGCTCAGTATTTCTTTAAAATCAAAGGAAATAGAGTCTTACCTGGGTCCACATATTCAGTCTGTACACAAGTTCCTCTATGGACGATGTAATTCGGAAAACTGGGGCTACATTTACAAATACAGCAATCACCAGGTTTACAGCCAGCACTTCCAATAACACGTAAACATTCCACAGGACTGCACGTCGAGACGGGATTGGAAAATGAATCAACGTCACCCATACCGTTTCGCTTTATAGAGCGAACAACGCTGAAAGCGTTCCCTTTGCTGAAGAAGAAACAAGTTAATATGGAAATCACCAATGACAGCGTGAAGATTATACTGGACTTGGAATCGTAAAACATTTTCCTTCGATGTCGTTTCAACGAAAACAGCTCGTGTGACGCAACTCGTAATCCAATGTGGTCGATATATGCGCAGTAATGATAACTGTTATTCTCGCCGAGATTTGCGTTGTTTTCGCAGAAACAATGGCTTTTATTTGACTCATCAATACCCGAGAGAAGTCAGTTATTTTTTTTTCATGAACGCTAAACGTTCGTTAACCCACAATTTACTAATTTCTCTTCTCTACTGCGGACGTATCATTCGCAATGCACAATATTCATTTAAATGAATATCACGTAACAATGCTTTTCTGTAAATCAGAGTCGCCAATATCCCAGAAATGAAACTTTGTTAATGTTGTTTTGCAAGTTGCATAAATACAGCTGCCCTCTACGAAGAAAAATTCTTCATCCCATATCTGCAATAATATTGTTCAAGTGTTGTGCGCATGACTCAATTTCATTGTTTGACACTCTTTTTTTAGACATTCTGGGCTGTGTTCCAGGGGCTCTTTTCCTGTTCATTTTTGCGTATATGTGAAAGACAGAGTGCTTCGGAGATGTTAGACAAGGGCTAATTATAGGCTAATGTGCAGGAGTATGACGCACTTGCGCTAAACATCGGACGTCTATGACGAAGTTGAGACTAAAAAGTTTAAACTGTGTCCCGCTTGTGGCCACTAAAAAAGGCAATTTTGTATCCACAGACACTCAAGAAAATTATTGGCAATTGAAAGACCATTGTTTAATGAAAGCAAAGTAAAATTTATACAAATGGAACTAATGTACAATTAAGTCAAATTTAAAACCAATAAATACTACGCTAGGATATGGCTTAAGAGCTTTTTTATAAACAGTCTGTTTACATTTCACTAATTTTTCTCTTGGTTTGAAAAATATATCTTAACATATCTATATAGCTGAAATATAATTTTGTCCGACAGAATCATATGCCATGAAGCTAAAGAAAAATGACAAAAATGTAATGACGGTTGTGGAGGTATTTCAAAACTCTCTTTCTTGCCTTCAACATTTAATGCGCATCATCACTTTCCCCTATAAAAAAGAAAAAACCAGTTCGAAGTGTCATATGCCAGGATTACACAGAAAAACGCCTTTCTTGTTTTTTATCTTCTCGCCTCCTGTAAGCGTCAGCGGAGCGATTAGGAAGGCAGGGAATAACACAACTGGGAAGGGGGGGGGCGGGGGGCAAGGAACAACCTTTTCCTGTCCCTAAAACCAGCAAATTTGTTTTATATCAGAGAGGGTTGCACTTGCTAAGTCTCCTAGCTCAGAACCCAGCTTGTAAGTTCTTGGATTAAGGAGATGGGCATGGAAAAACTCACCATATTCTTTGAATAGCGCTGCTAATGAAAACTTTTAAAGGAATTTCTTACTAGTGAAACAAACTAGTGTTAAAACAGCTGTACTGTTTCGTCTTAAGCAAACGGGAAACACACAAGCAAACAGACAGAAATCTCTTAAACAAAGAACACATCAAAAGAAGAGAGAACGAGGCCGTTAATAGGAGTGTCTAACACCACTGTTATGCTGCGTCGGTGGGAAAGTAAAACACTAAACTGGGTCGGGTTGTTCAAATTCATTTTAATTCAACCTGTCTACAATTTGATGATTGAATGCTCTAAAAACGAATTGGGAAAGTTATCTCAAAACGGCTGTTGAACAGAGAAATATAAAAACCTGGATTAAAATTTAATCCTGGGTTAGCGCTAATCGGACTCCAAACAACTGAGCCCTGGATATCAGCTATAGTCTGACAATGTTTGCTGAACCGGCGTAGCGAATTTCGAAGACCTGACGTGTCAAGCGTTAGAGCTTCATTGCTTCTTTTTGCACAAACGAATGAGTTAGCCCTCGAAAAGTCAACCTTTCAGAGTTGATACAATTAATAATCCAGACAAAAATGATCATGTACCTTCATCGCACTCATCCACAGCTTCAAGCACATAGTATTCGTGACCGTTGTCGTCCTCAATTTCAGTTGGTTCATTATCCTCCACCGTCATCACACTCCTTCTCTTTCCCATTTCTTCATATTCTTCAGGGCGGCCTCCAGATAAATCCTCATAAGAAGCTGCTGGATGCAAATTCTGTGGATTAAGCCATTCATTTCCGTGCACGCAACAGTCAATCTTTCTGTTCACAACATCCTCACACGTACAGGAGTCAGCATCATCTCGACATGACTGCGAGGGCGACGATTCGCTGACAATAGTTTTTGGAATGGATGCGGTGTTGCTCAGATCGCCAATGGTTATTTCCATGCAAGTATTCGGAGTATTGTCGACAGTGTCATCGCTGTGTGAAATTCGGAAAAGATTCCGTAGTTCCACCGGATCGACCTCAACACGAGCATAATCGTACTCAAAATCCTCCGTTTGTGGATCCACATCCTCAACTCTAGCATATCCGTCGAATTCGTCTAAGGGGTACTTATGAAAGAAAGAAAACGGCGATCGCAATTTGATTTAAAACTGGAAACACCGAAATGATGAGCTTCGCAAAGTATTTTGGCGTTGATTATTTGTTCTGTACTGAACAATGCACTAAACAAGTTTTATGACAGCCCAACCATGACGATCAAGATCCCTTAGATTAGCTGTACAGCTAGAAAAAACAGGTTAGATAACAAAGGACTGGCGGCCCCTTTAACCCTTTACAACCTAACATCAATTCTACCAACTAGAATGACGGTAATGTCATCGATTAAAAGTTCTGAGAATTTGGGTTTGATCCCGTGAACACCTTACCAGTTGATTTCTCTGCAAAGATAGAGTCTGATATGGCGTAGTAGACACTCCTTCACCATTTGATTCCACCTCTGACAACCGTTTTTGACCACACTCTCGCCAAGGTGCTTCCCCCTTCAGTGATGGTGTCGACCTGAAGAGCTCCTGATAAGGAAAGACATCCTCCTCCACAAGAGCAGATTTGGCAGGGCTGACTACATTAGAAGAGTCAGGAGAAGACGATGTTCCTGCTGTCCTCGGCAAAGAGGTTGTAGCCCTAACCAGCTTCTGATAAGGAAAGTCAGTTTCCATCCCAGGGGAACTGACTGGTCTGATTCCTGTGGCACTGTCAGGGGTTGACGAGGATGTTCGTGTCAGAAGTCGCTGATAAGGTAGGCGTGGTGCTGCAGTCTCGGCAGGTCGAGTGAGTGTTCCACTGTGACCTGGTGTCCAGATGATCAGCTTATTGTCTTCACCTCTTTCATACATGGCATTTCCTGAGGGAACAGATATGATCGAGGTCAATTATGATAATAATAATAGTAATAATAATAATAATATTGATGATGATGATGATGATGATGATGATAATAATATTAATATTAAACTAATATGTCAAATATTGACAAACCCTGTCATACGAGTGCCCCTCGACTACACCCTGCCGTGGCGAACACCTCAGTCTGGCAGATATGAGAGAGTTTCACCATTCCCCCTCTTTCCCCAACCCCCTTCCCACCCTTTGGNNNNAATTTTTGATTGTGTCAGTCAGTCTGAGATTAAAAAAAATGTACATATAACATCTTCAACAAAATTAAAGACTGACAACTCAAACTCCCATTTGCATACATATTATCACCATTACAAGGCAAGCAGAAGCCTCTTCACACACCTGTTGTTTCCTGCTTGCAATTCCTTCGACACCTTAACACCAGAAATACAACAATGGCAATGATGGCGATGAGAACAACACCAGACAGACCCAAGGACACAGCTATCCAGATCTTCTTGTCATTGGCTTTTGACTATTCAACTGTCGGCAATGGACTGTTGGTTTCTGTATTTTCTTCATTTGATGTCTGTGTAAGGAAAAGAATTACAAGAAAAATTATCACCACTTATCAGGGCTCGACTGAGTAACTTTTCAACCTATTAGCCAAGTGGCCGGTGACATCTTACATGCTACAACAATGTCAGTTTGTTTACTAGCCAAACTGGCTAGTGGAAACTGAAATCCACAACCCAAAACTGAATTTCTACTAGGCTGTAGCTAGTGGGCTACCGTTAGTGTCAATCCCTGATTTATAATGTAATTGTTGGTGCCATTATTGTGTACAGTGCCTGACCACTTCCTGCAGCTTGGTGCTTAGTGGTTCCAGACAAATACAGTGAAGATGAGAAAAGGGGGGGGAGGAAGGGGAGGACGGGGGGGTCTTACAAGTAAAAAAATTGCTGCTTCTTCACAATGGAACAGTGGTCTAAATCTTTTTTCCTCATATCTCATCCCGTTTGAATGACAATTGAATGCCAGCAACTCAATACTCTTGGGAGTGGAAGGAGGCACTGTGGCAGGCAAAACATAATCAATAACACTGATGATGACTTCTGCACAGGTTGTTGAAATGTCAGTCACTACCACCCACAACAGTCCTTCTCAGGACTTAACACTCACCCAGACAATCACACTACACTTTCACAAACACCACATCAAGTTTAACTGAAGTCAGTGAAAAAAACTTGCATCATAATCTCCAAAACACTGTAGATAAAAGACCATTTCTTATGTAATAGTTCATTTCTGGTAATGTAAAGTAAGGACAAAGATTAAAAATTTTTTGCTTGTCCCCAACCTTGGTGATCATTAACAACACAAATATTGAGTAAAATTAATCTGTGAATACATTGGTTAACATCATTCAAAAGGTAAGTTCACTTTTAGATGCATATGGTTTACATAGATGTATTTACAACATACCTCAACACTGCTCTTCTCTGTTGAAGTGTGTGTAGGTGGTGTGGTTGTAGAAATGTTAAAATCTGAATTTAGAAGGGAAACAATTGGTGGTGACAAAGATTATGTAAAAGCTGCATTTCATAGTCTACACTCTGTCCTAACAGGCTGTTTGTAGCTTAATTCAACTTGAATCATCATACAATGGTTTTCCATCAGACATTGTCAAATTTCATTACAAAGAAAGCATGGGGTTTGACTAAGTACCCCCTCAATGCAAAAACATTTAATGAGAACAACCCTCCCTCCTGCAAAAAAGCACAGTTTTCCTCTTTAGCCTCAAGGGGGAAAAATCCCTCAGTCCCTGAGTAATATGTTACATAGTCTGTGTGTATGGTAAGTATACATGATTCTTGCCCCATTGAAGTGTATGAAGTGTATAAGAATTAACATATATCAGAAATTTAACACCCCACATTTTCCCCTATTTCCACCTTGAAAAACATCTATATGAGCACACAGTTTTTACACTAAGAAATTTTCTTGAAACTTAACATGATACAGTGTCACATCTTTGAAACAAATTTATTGTAACACACACGTAGTTTTTTGTTTGCACTGAGATACAAATTTCAATTTTATTAGTTTATGTTGTTGGCAATTGATAATCACTGTGGCTGAAATTTGAAAAATAAGCCTCAGAGTACTTAAAAAAAAATAATAACCTCTCAAGAAACTTACACTGATGTGTTCCTTCAGCCTTAAATATGAGGCAACGAGTGTCTGTCGTCCCTTCGTGAGTACACTGAAACATAACTTTTATCAGGAATCCTTGGTAAAGGAAATCAGGGTTCCCATTCCACTTTTAAAAAAAAAATAAATCAAAAGTTTTAGTTTGAATAATTTCTGAAAAATTAAAAAATTTGATCAGGTTTATGACAGCACTTGTGCAAGTACTTGTTTCCAGGTGCACGAAGGGTACATTGTTTGCCAGACCAATTGAATGCAAAATAATGTAGGTATCAAGTTAATGAGCTCTGACTTGTAACTCCCAGAAGTGATTAACATGTAACTTCTCCCAAAAATATCCATACATTATCCAGCAAATGGGAAATGAGAATACTCAATTGAACTTATCAGGTAGGAGGCGTCATCTTGAACTAACACAAAATTTTTGCAGACTTATTTACAAGGAAATGTGTAGCAGCTAGAATAGAGAGTTTGAGGGTTAATAATAAAAGGAATTCAAGTATTGAGTAAGATAAGTAAGCAAGTAACTTATCTTTAAACGTGAAAAGCTAAGAGGTAACAAAAACTTGTTCAAACATGCACATGTGGAAAAATAATTGAAAAGAAAGCTGTTTAACTGTACTCTGCAGTCACAAGTAATCCTTAAAACTCAAATGAAACATATCTGCATTACCTCAGGTTTTCAATTCCTCTACATGAATACTATATAATTTATGCTTCACATTTTAGATGAGAGGGTTTAATAATATTGTATTTAAATGATTAATAGTCATAACATTTGTCATAGTTGGTGCAGGTGTATATATGCATAAGAAACCCTACAAATTTCTACGTAACATGTCTATACCACATTTTTTGGACCCCACCATGTTAAACATCCAGTGCCATTCCAATCCTTTTGAATTGAATGGCCAATAAAAACCATCCCATTAATTCACTGACAGTCATATTGTCTTAATAGAAAAGCAATACTGACTTTGAAAATCAGGCAACACCCAACATAATCAATACAATACAATATTCTTTATTTAATGAAGGTGATGTAATTAACCCAATGAGTTATCTAACTTATGGCTTTCACAACAAACCCACCAACCCAACCCAGGGGAGGACATCCATCACACAGTAATCTCGTGTGTGGGAAATTAACGTCTCCTACCCCAACCCTGCAGGAGACGGGACCTCCATTTACTTGTCCCTATCCGAGAAGACTAGAATATCTAACCATTTCTCGATGTTATAGAAAGGTAGCAAATTCTTCTCAATTATTTTAAGACCTTGAGTGTTGGTCAGGCCGGAGCTCAAACCCTCGACCTCCCGCACAACAGTCCAGCGCACTATCCATTGGGCTAACTGGGTGGCAGTTATGGCAACATCGTTTACATGTTGGCTTTTTACCAGATTTCTACCCTGCCACCTCAACTTAATACATTTATTTCAATATCTGATGCTACTATTATTTGTACTGGACTCTCAATAAAGGTCCTCCCTTCTCCCACAATCATAATTAATTGCTAGTAAGATTCTGGGAAATAAAGGGGCTACATTTCCAAAGAAACCATGGCGCTGCTTTGGTGAGAGTAACAAGGTAATTTTGGTTTTATCAAATGAGTTGATGCTATAAACTGGCCACAGTAAAGAGTTTCAAAGCTGACGTTTCGAGTGTTAGCCCTTCGTGAGAGCCAATGGATCTGACAAAGGGTTAACATTAAAAAACATCAGCATTGAAACTTAAAACATGTACTTTGAATCACATGCAGTCATGCACACACAGTACAATCTAATACCAGGTTCAAAGCCTCTTATGGAATTATTCACCCTCTGACCCCTTAGAATGTCAAGCATCAAAATTCTCCCTACAATATCATCACCAACTCACACATTAAGGTCACAAAAATAAAGAAAATGATCACCAACTAAAGAAGCTCTTGATCAACAATATTTTTTTACTTAAGATAAATTCTCCTTGTCAGCACCTTGGAAATGTATAGAGAACTGTGAGTATGGAGAATATGTTTACTGATGTTAAGGTGTGTGGGAGTTAATAAGTTTATAATTAGAGTACCTACACTGAAAGTTGTTGCTGAATGTGGCTTCTTTCCGAAAGCATCATCAGCAGGAAAGGAAGTCCATGAAGAGTTTAAGTAAAATTTCCACCCAGTAATTTGGATTTGATCACAGAGATCATTAGGCTGCAGTCTTTCTTGTCCATTTGCCTGAAGGTTAAGAACCTTAAACTGCTGTGATCGATTAAAGTAGAAGCCACAAGTATTTCCTGGATCATGAAGGTAAAAAAAAAAAGAACAGGATATTTTTTACAAAAATCCCACCTAAACCAGCCACTTTTCATCAAGTCAATTCATTACAGTAGAACAAAAGAAAGTTATTTTTTGGTAAAAAAAGTTCAAGAAAGAGTCTTGAGCAGAGCACAATAAATTATATTTGTCCACCTAGTATAGTCCACATAACTTTCCATGCTCTGATGATATTTTTTTAAATTGTTAGCCAACAACCTTAAATAATTTTTTCCCTTTGGCTTTCAACTCTACACTGACCAGCAAAACTACCACCTAAGAAAATAAATAATAACTCGACCTGTTGGATACATGTTTTATATTTACTGAGATATCGAACCTTATTCAATCCAATCCAATCCAATTCAGTGAAGATTCTAGTTAACAATGTCTTAATTTTGTTTCTCGGTTGATTGAATGCTCAAGAAATGATGATTTTCACCTTAATTTTTGCTTTTGAAAGTAAAAGATAACTGGGTGCTAAGCTTGATATTTTCAATGAAATGTTGTTAATTACTCGTCTAGAAATACAAAAATCTACTGTTTCAAAACTGCATAAAACATAATTTTATTACCTCTGCGTACATCCGCCAAAATAACTTTGTCTTTCACACACCTCATCTCTCCCGTGTGCGTTGTATAAAATGTACGTTTACCTTTTTCATTGCAAGAACACGAACATCGACTGCCTGCTACACTGTTCGTCTTCATAGCCCCATATTGTTTACAACTTGGGCAGCCGTTCGACTCTAATTCAATCTCAAAGGAGTCTCCTTTTCCCCTAGAACGTGTTACACTTAGGATTTTTGACATCGAAACATTCACCTCGACAACAGCAATAGAAAAAAAACACCAGCACTTGAAGATCAGAATGAAAAGGTGACATTTCCATAAGCGTCCCATATTGGAATTTCATCAAAGAAGAGTCATAAATACTCCGAACATCTTTGTGTTTGGAAGTTATAATGGAACGTTTGTTAATTCTATTTGAATTCGAATCATTTCTACCGGAAGCCAGCTGATATCCTTCAGCCTTACGCCCTAACCGCGAGGTCACTTTCATTTTCCCATCTAATAACCACTCCGCCATGTTGTTTTCAGAAAATTACCCCGAAAGCGACAGGCCTTCAGTGACGCATTTCCTACTTAGTAAGGGAGGCTTGTGCTATTTTTGGCATGTCTCAGTCATCATCAAAAGCAATATTGCGACACTAAATTTGAGCAAGGTGTTTTTGATGGGACAAGAGAGTATCTATATTTCTGTAAAATGAATGAGCTAACAAAGTAAAATAGCGTATGTATAGCTGATCCTTCGAGCTAAAACTACCGTCCGTCACATTAAACACACCTACCTATACATTTCCTGTTTGACTCTTTCAAGGCGGGATAGACACCATAGCGACTCCCTCAACAGTTTAAGTTCAAGGAAGGTCAAAAGTATAAAATTTAATCTGTCTTCATGCCAGTATTATGCTATTTTTTACGCTGTAATGTTATACGCTGTACCTTGGCGTCTGGAGACAGACTGACGACTGACCACTCCCATAAATAGGTGATAGTTCCGCGTTCAAAAAAGAAGAAAAGAAGAGTTGTCTTCCTTGGCTAAGCGCGCAGTTTTCGGAAGTTTCGACGCTGAGTGATCATTCATTTGTAAAACTACAGGTTAAGGCCATTTTTATAGAATAATCTTTCCTCTAGGGGTTCAGGTTCAATTACGAACGCTTTTACGAGTAGAATCATCGCAGATATATCGAAAACCATAAAAAAATAAACAAACAAACATAAAATGAACAAAATAAGGAAAATAAGTGCGGCTTGAACAAAATTTAAAACCATCCAGCCGTACTGTGATTCCTGTGATAACATAGCAGCCGTCTCGCCAATGCTAAGCTATCAAGGTTTCACATGTTCCCAACACACGCACCAAAGTATACAAGCCGCAACTTCCATCAGGTGAGGTGCGCGTATGCCCGGATCGGGCACGAGACATGTGCGACTGTCGCGTGTGACATGCTGACTGTCTAGCTGCAACTTTATGCTAATGAAATTTGTACGAGTGATTTCCCACATAAAAACGTTATAAGTAAATTTAAATGTACCGAGTAAGTTCGAGTCTCTCGTAGGCTGCTACTCAATTAATTGTCCCTTATGTGTAGACATGGTGCTTCGTGGGGGTATATCAAAACATGATCCAAGAAGCTATCTCTTACACTTCTTTCGTGCTTAGCAACCTCCCGCGTGCATACATAACTCAATAGAGTACGCTGTAGTGTTTACCATTTGTTAAATCGCAGTTGTGATCACTCTTGATATATTAATATGAGGCCAGCATTGGAACATGATTTCATGTAATCGGACCCCATATTATAGCGTGCCTCGCGTATAAGTCTACGAGGCGATGAAAAGAAAATCCTGAGGATACATAGAAGTTTCGCGGTCTGGTTTGAGGCTATTTCTGCACTATAATGTCAATGGACAATTGGCAATCGTCATACATACACTAAAGAGTATTCATCTATGAGAACTTGTTAACTCAAGAAAATAAAATTTTCTTAGTTTGCTTAATCATGCTTAGATTAAATGAGAGACAAAAAA